TTCTGTGGGGAATTTTTAATCTTTTCTGATTGAATACTGCAAGTCGGATGGCTTCTGCTTTTTTCCCCAGCTGCAACTCTCCTCTAGTAGCAGCAGGTTGTGTATCTGATCTCTGCCACCACTCTTTAATTTAGGCCGTCTACTTCAACTCTCCCAGTCTAGGAATTTACCCATTCTTGTTTTAAATAACTTTATTTCTACTTGAAATTCTTCCATATTCTAATGTATGTTATCAGCAATTTACTTTAATACTTAGCCGAGATCTTCCCATTCTTGATTTCATCCCATGTATTATCCTGAACTTTGCTCAGTCTTTATGTACAGCTAAATATTTGAAAGTTACTTGGCTTAACCGAGCCATCAGTACATTTTTATTCTCTTCACATCTTTCCTTGTAAAGAAATCCATGTAACAACCCAACAATTTGGTATGGTTTCTCTGCAGTCCTTTGTTGGAGAAAAGCATTATTCTCTTTTGATTGTTATTAGTCTTTAAGCCCCGAACCACTAAAGAACTTCCATGGCATTCTGAGCTTTTATCAGATTTGTTCTGTTACTTTGGTAGTGTTGGAGTGGTGTCGTGATGGTCCAGAAATTATGCGAAAGGCAAGGATTTTTGTGGATGATAACTTTCAGTGGACCCAACTCCATTGCTGGGATAAAGTTAGACAAATTTTATGTTACTTTGCACATTAAAGGCTGCAGTATGCATTCCGTATAGTAACAAGCTGTGTCCTTGAAGCCAGTGGAATGATTTGTGCTCTTAATAAGAAAGATGTTTAAATATAGGTAGTCCAGTGTTCTTTTGACATATTCCCTGAACTGGAGCTTAGGTAAGTAAGGGTCAGGTGTTAAGCTTTAGCTCTTCAAAGCATTTCCTGTATTTCTGGTGAACATTCAGGTGGCTGGAGGCTTATCTATAAAGCTGTAACAATAAACTAAACAGTTCTTCTATATTCCTCTATAATCTCTGGTAATAAATTTACCATATCTGTGGAGGAGCCTAGGAAACTTTGCCTCCTCCCTGGTAGGTAGGAGGGCAGGCAGGAAGAAAACTAGACTTCACTCCAGACCTTAACTAATTTCCTTCAAAAGATTGGTCAGAACTCAGTATATTCCTGTGCAAGGTTTTGCTTTTGTCAAACTAAATTTTCAGATGGAAAAGGCTTCAGTTTGAAAGCTTCTAGCCATGTAATGTTAAGAAGAGATGGGGGAGGAGGAAGAATGATTTTCAGCAGCAAAACATGGTGGTGATATTTTCCTTGCAGTGGTGAACCCCTGGGACCATTGCTCTTGTCTGATGCACTTCTGCTGCCGCTCTGCCCTCCCTGCTGCCAGAGCTGCTGCAGGGGAGGTGCAGGGAGCAGAAGGGTGTGGGAGGGTTGGGGTGGGGAAGGAAGCATCCACCTAGCTCCATTGTGGTGCTCCTGTCTTAATAAGTGCTAGGGACTCATGCCCTACTTCCCCGCCATTGTTATGCCATGGGTTACCAAACGTGTCAATTCTCAGTTTTTAGTTCTTTAATAACTTAGGTTAATAGGACTGATGTGACATTATCTTAACATTTTTCATTAAAGCCGTTTCATGAGAAACGTAGGTGAATTTAACTGCTGCTTAAATCAGTATGAAAACTGTTTCTGAACCTGAATCACTAAGGGTATGTGCCAGACAAATGGTTTATTGTGAGGTAGAGTGGGGAGGGCACTTTGCAGCTGCTGCCTCTTTCATTGCAGGCTAAGATATTGTGGCTTAATTTTTATGTACTGTAAGGAAGTGCATGCACCTAGACAGGACATCTGATGCATAATAAATTGTTTGTTTTAAAACCTGGGAGGAAAGATGGTCTCCTGAATTGAGTAGTGACCTAGAATTGAGAGGTATGGGTTTAGTTCTCTTACTCTATGACAGGCTTCCTGTGCAACCTTAGGAAAGTCCCTGTCTCAATTCCCCATCTGTAAAATGGTTAGAGCTACTTTTTTGCAAAGGGGAACTGCAAAAATAAATGCACAGCCAAACACAATGAATCGCCTACCAATAGACTAGTTTGAAACACCTTCCTTCCACAAAGATTAAATGTAAGTACAGATACAGGCACACTTCAGTGGTCCAACAAATCATCAGAAGTCAAGGACAATAAGAAGTCCTTTTTTAGGTATGTAGGCAGTAGAAGGAAAACAAATGGAAGTGTGGGACCCCTGCTTAACATCTCAGGACAGCTAGTAACTGACATTCAGGAAAAAACTGAACTCCTGAATGCCCACTTTGCTTTGGTATTTCACCAGACCAATGGGAAAGACAAGTGAGATAAGGCTCATAGGGGACATGCTGGAACTGACAGCCTCCCTGCTGCAGATGCTGAGTGGGTGCAATACCAAATAGAAAAGCTAGGCATTTATAAGTCAGCAGGACCAGATGGACTTCATCTGAGAGTGCTGAAGGAGCTGGCAGAGGTCATTGCAGAACCCCTGGCAAAGCTCTTTCAGAATTCCTGACGCACAGGGGAAATCCCTGAGGATTGGAAGAGGGCCAAAATTGTGCCCATCTTCAAGAAGGGGAAGAGGGAGGACCCAAGCAACTATAGGCCAATATAATTAGCCTAACCTCCATCCCAAGGAAAATCCTGGAAAAGATCATTACAAAATCTGTGTGTGATATACTCACAGAAAGTAAGATTCTGAGTGACAGCCAGCATGGCTTTGTTGTGGGTAGGTCTTGTTTTACCAATCTCATCTTCTGTGACCAGGTCTTTCGCCACCTGGACATGGGAGATGAGGTAGACATTATATACCTAGACTTCCGAAAGGCTTTTGATCTAGTATCCCATGATATCCTTGTGGGAAAACTGGAAGATGGTGGGCTCAGCTGCTCAACAGTTCAGTGGGTGGGAAACTGGCTACAGAGTAGGACCCAGAGAGTTTTCATGAACGGATCTGTGTTGTCCTGGCGCAAAGTGGCCAGCGGTGTCCCTCAGGGGTTCATGCTTGGACCGGTGCTTTTCAACATCTTTATCAGTGATTTGGATGGGGGAGTGAAAAGCTCGCTGGCCAAGTCTGTGGACGATACCAAGTTATAGGACAGTGTGGTCGTGTCAGAAGATAGGTTGTAGATACAAGTGGACCTGGACAGGCTTGAGAGTTGGTCAGACTGGAACCAAATGAAGTTTAACACTTCCAAGTATAAGGTGGTCCATCTGGTGGCAAACAACCCTCAACATATATAGGCTTTTTGGTGACAGCTTGATTTGCACCACGGCTGAAAGGGACCTAAGGGTAATGATTGACCATCACATGTATATGAGCCATCAGTGTGAGGCGGTTGTCAGCAGGGCAAATAACACGCTGGCATGCATCAACCAATGCATCTTGTGTAAAGCTAAGGAAGTGATACTCCCACTGTACTCAGCACTGGTGAGACCACAGTTGGAGTACTGTGTTCAGTTGTGGGCGCCGCATTTCAATAAAGACGTAGAAAAACTTGAGAGGGTCCAGAAAAGAGCCACGCATATGATCAGGGACTTGCAAGGCAAGCCATATGAGGAAAGACTGAGGAACCTGGGCCTTTAGCCTAAAGAAGAGAAGGTTGAGAGGGGACTTGACAGCGGCTTAGCATTATATCAAAGGAGTGCATCAGGAGCTCGGCTAACAGCTGTGCACCAGGGCACCCCCGGGGAAGACCAGGACCAAGGGATACAAACTTCTGGAAGGCCACTTCAGGCTTAATACTAGGAAAAACTCCTTCACAGGGTGTCCAGACTGTGGAATAAATTCCTTCCAGAGGTGGTGCAGTCACCTACCCTGGAGGTTTTCAAGAGGAAACTAGACAGTCACCTCACTGGGATCACCTAACCCTAGTTGTCTTCCTGCCTAGAGCAAGGTGGGCTGGACCTGATGATCTGCAAGGTCCCTTCCAGCCCCTAACAGTCTATGAATCCTTATTACTGTTTCATAGCATAGCAATGGTCTTGAGAAATCCCAAACAATGTGCTGCTTTTCACATCCAATCTAGGAATTATGAATTGGCACCTATCTAACTGTTGAGGACAGTACTAATTGTCTCTAGTGGGTTATGGAATAGAGAAAATCCCACACAATTTACTGATTCGTTTTGATGCACTGGCTGGGGGAGTAGTTAGCTGATTGCACGATTTCACAATGATTACACACTTAATTCATACAACACAATTTTATTTTAAAACTCTTTGCTACGTATATAACACTGCTTAGCTTTAAGAAACACCACAAACATTAAAAACACAATAATTACATATATCAGAAACAATGCTCCGAATGCACTTCCTTCCCAAACAATGCTATAAGAATTAGTGTTACAAAAACAACTACAATTACAACTAAAAGTTAAATTTGAATCAATACTGTTATTTTTCATAATATACTTACAATCCTAGAATTCCGAGAAGCCAAATACCAAAATATGGTTTCATTCCTCAGTAGTACGATTTAATGGGTTGGCCTCAGTAGTACGGTTCAATAGGCTGGCCTCAGCAATACGATTCAATGAGCTGGGCTCACCAGTGATAGGACTACGTCCCCTTCCTTCAGTCCCTTTCGGGCGCTCCGCGGCTTCAGCGTGAACTAAGAGATTCATGTTCACGGAGAGGCTTGATTAGGCGATCAATCTAATCTGAACTTATACTTGCGATTCTTCCTTCGTTGTTCTGCAAGTGAAGTCACCTCCAAATTGGGACAGGAAGTTACACATTTTATTGAGCGAGCTGACGTCAGTGGGCTCCTCCTACTCAACTTGTCATAACTCCCAAATTTGGGCTCGGATCTTACTCAACAGAAATTACCTTTGTTGAGCATTTTTAAATTATTCTTGGGGAGACTTCCATATCACTGTAAATACTCTTTTCTTTTTACCAGTCTGGTTAAAAGGCCTTAGGCTTTGATGTCTCGGAATTTAGGACATTTGTTTTCTTTGTAAAAAACTTCTAAAGATACAATTTAAATTAAGGTTTTAGGTGAAGTCAGGACATTTCGCACATAGCTCCAAAACAATGAGCTAGATAAGGAGATAAATCCTATCTTCTTCCTGAAACTGGCTAATGGGCAATCTTTACAAACATTCAAACTATTTCATTCAATATGACACTAATAAGGACATGGGGCAAAGCCTGAATGAGTGAGGATGCTTATCATGGATGTGTTGAATTGATTAGTTCAATTAATGCAATTTACAGACTGTTTATTGTATTGTAGAGAAGGCTGTACAGATTACAGTTAGATACTAGTGTATGCTTGTAAGATGTTTAAAAATCTTCATATTTAGATGGTAAAACAATATCTATAGATGTATAGTCATGTGGTAAACCTTTTTTGGTGGAGGAGTGGAAGAAAAACAAGTTCAATGTAGATGTGATCAGTAAAAAAAAATGTGTAAATGAAAGATATTATCTAGGTGGAGTGTACATAGAAGTTTTTCTGCTAACCAGTTGCCATTTCTTATCTAGTTTTTTCACAAATGCCACATCATTTGACACATATATACCAAAACTTTCTATATTGATAACTGGGATAGCAAACACTGGATTTTCACATTAATATGGTCTGGCCCGATATGTAATGATCAACTATTTGTACACAGCTTCCAAATTTGTAAAAATGAAAGAATTGTAGCGTACTAGTGATTAGGGTTGTAATGAAAACATGACTTTTTTCAACACAGCCTCTTATGCATCTTCACATAATATTTGAGAGTTGCTTGAAGCTTCTCTAATGAGAAATATATGGTGCTTCTAGAGGGAGTTAATTTGATGAGTGAAACCAGCAATATGTTCTGTCTAGCCTTTCTTGTTAGTAATATTAGCACCGATGTGTGAGCTCAGATTTAAGAATGTACTGACTTAGGTTGCCGGATTATGTCTCTTTATACTGTTAAGGGAGGAAAGGCAGAGAGAGAGAATCATTTACTTTTGTCATTCTTATCAGTTAGGATTTGTCTGCATGCAAATGAGTTTAGTTAAAGCAGTACAAACCCTTACTGTGGGTACTTTTGTTTTTGTTAAAAACTGGCTATATCTGTTCAACTCCCCTCCAGAAATTTACAGTATGAACCAGATTTAAATTGACTTTATCATCTTCAGTGATTGAAAACCTGTTTAAAATTACACCTTTACACTGGTGCAACCTTGTATGTAGCTCAGACCAATGCAATGTTCATAGGGCAGAAGTTTCAAGCTTGTCATTCCTACAGGTCACCAGCAGGTTGTATAAAGTCTTTCCCTCATCCCCCACAAAGATGCCAGAATGGATCTCAGAGTTGAAGCACATTTATTAAACACCTTTTAGCATGAGCAGTCATGTGCTTTCTTCTACATTGCAGCTTTATTTAAACACAATAAAGTGTATTGGTTTAATGAAAGGTTAATTCTAAATCAGTCCTGAAAGCCTGGTGCAACTTCCTATTGATACATTTTCATTTAAAACTTACCAGTTTAGTTTATACCTGTAAATTTACCAGTCAAAGTAAGCCAGCATGGTCCAAGTTAAACAAGTATGTATTTCTATTCAAAGTTGCAGTAGTATAATAAATAGTTTGGAACAACATTTTTTAATTCAATTAGTGCAACTTTGTTTAGATTAGGCTTATATTATCACAGTGCCTCAGTCCTGACACCAAAGGTACTAGTGGAGTGAGTAGCTGTATACATACTGGTTTGGTCCTTGACTCTTCTGCTTTAACTGCGAATAAAGGTGCTAACTATCAGTGGGTGACCTGATATGATTGTGTGCTCGCTAGGATCTAGAGTAGAATTCATGACTTCAACTGTCTTGTACATCAATTTGTGATAGTTGCTTTTAAAACTGAAAATTTGTGTGATCAAAAATGTCTTGAATAACTTCCAACTTGTGCTGTACCTTAGGCTGATCTTTTTCTTTTTTTTCTTAGTTTGCAGGTCAAAATGTCTCAGACAGAAAATAGTTAGGCTCACAAAATACATCATCCTATCTCGTCTCTAGCATTTCAGTATTAAAAATGGATAAGTGTAAACACGTAGGAAGGCTGCGGCTTGCCCAAGACCATTCCATCCTGAACCCTCAGAAATGGCATTGTGTGGACTGCAATACTACAGAATCTGTATGGGCATGCCTCAGCTGTTCCCATGTGGCATGTGGAAGATATATTGAAGAGCATGCACTAAAGCACTTTCAGGAAAGTAGTCATCCTGTGGCATTGGAAGTAAATGAGCTGTATGTTTTCTGTTATCTTTGTGATGACTACGTTCTGAATGATAATGCCACTGGTGACTTAAAACTGTTGAGAAGTACATTAAGTGCAATCAAGACTCAAAACTATGACTGCACTACCCGTAGCGGCCGGACTTTGCGATCCATGGGAGCAAGTGATGATTCGTACCTTTCACATGATTGTGCCCAAGCTTTGCTTCATAATGAAGACCGCATGTTCACGGCTTTGTGGCACAGGAGGCGTTCATTAATGGGCAAAGTATTCAGAACATGGTTTGAGCTAACGCCTCCTGGAAAAAGGATTTTGGAAGAAGAAAGACATCGGGAAGAGGCAGAGGAAAAGAGGGATAGAGCTCGGAAGAGAAGACAAGAGCGAAAGCGTCAGTTGAAAGCAGAGATGGAAAAAATGCCTCCAAGAAAGAGTACTCGTTTACAAAATCGAAGTCAAATCTCAAAAGTACCATCCTGCGTACAAAAAGTACAATATGATCTGGACTTGCCTGCAGAGCTGAAAGGAACACATACCTCAGATGAAGTAAAACTGAAAAAAATCAGTGACTCCCCAATTAAACGAAGGTCTACGGTGACTCCTGGTATAACAGGACTGAGAAACTTGGGAAATACGTGCTACATGAACTCTATTCTGCAAGTACTGAGTCATTTACTTATTTTTCGGCAATGTTTTTTAAAGCTTGATTTGAACCAAACTCAGGAGTTGCTGGCAACAGCAGTCAATGGTAAAACAAGGTCTTCTAAGAAGTACTCTCTGGTTATTGGCTCTGTGTTTCATGTGAATGAGAATCAAGAGAAGGTGAAAGGCTCATCTTCAAGGCGACCTAGTTTATCCTCTGGACTAAGTGGGGGGGCATCAAAAAGTAGAAATATGGAACTTATACAGCCCAAGGAGCCAAGCTCAGAGCACATATCTCTTTGTCATGAACTACATACTCTGTTCCAAGTTATGTGGTCTGGCAAGTGGGCACTGGTATCTCCTTTTGCAATGCTCCATTCTGTTTGGAGATTAATCCCAGCTTTCCGAGGTTATGCCCAACAAGATGCTCAGGAATTCCTCTGTGAACTTTTAGATAAAGTACAGCAGGAACTGGAAACCACTGGGACCAGATACCCAGCTCTCATCCCTGCTTCTCAAAGGAAACTTATGAAACAGGTTCTGAATGTGGTCAATACCATTTTTCATGGACAGCTTTTAAGTCAGGTATGTATCAGGATTTTTTTTTTCAATCTGTTGTAGAAATCACTGAAGGCATAAACCAGATGATATATTTGTAAGGGGTTTGAAAGGTTAGGATTGCCTAGTTGAGCTAATGAATAAGAAGGGACAAGAGAAAAGGATACTGAATGATATATAGAGGTGCATGTAATCATTCTCTGTACCAAAGGAATTACCTAGGAGAAATTAAAGTAACAGCTTCAAATGATAAGTGCAAATACTTCACTTCATGACTGAAATATATTCCTAAAAATTATTATTGAGGTATAGAAGTTGACTTCTACACAAGTAAATGTTTTTCAACATGTGTGTGTAATATCTCAAACCTGAGAGAGATACCTACATCAGTTATCCATTAACTGCTGGGGTTAAGAAACATAAAGACATTGATAGTGTCTTGTTTCCTAATGATCAGTTATCGAAGTTTTACACTTAAAAGCATCTGGTTGGCTCTGTTGAAGAAAAAGTCATAGAAACTACATAACATTGGTAATTCTTGCATTCACTTAAGTGACACCTACACAATATTGTAAAGAGTGGTGGGCAACTGGGACCCCAGCCCCAGCTTCCCGCTTAAAGAGGACACAAGTACAGAAGCTGCTGCTGGCCTGGCCCCTGCAAGCACCCCTGCTACTCAGGGCTCAGAATGTGTCTTTTTCACTGCTATCCCTTATAAATAATTTGTTCTGTTTCAGTAAATCATTTAAAATGGATTTTGAAATTCTTAATACAGAAACATTTGTGAGTCTGATTTCTATCCACAGGACACTGATTCATGATACTGGGGTTCTTCCTTAGATGATACAGCAAGCTATGCCAATGAAATGAGCTAGGTTTCATTGTGTCCTCTGTTTGGCTGCTCTGTTTTTTAAGAGCTCTTATGAAATACTTCTGTATATTCCATCAGTGCATGAAGCAATTTAAGTAGCAGCTTAATGCAGTGCAGTTGAAGTATGCCTATTTGTGTAAAGTCCTGAGAACCAGCTAAATATTAACCCTCAGATACTCGAATTTCTGTACCATCTGTTGCAAAAAGATGTTCCTTGATAGAGAAAAGCTTATTTGAATGAGGTCAGTTCAACTGTGATCTTGGATTACCACAATAACTTTTTCTGAAATAAGATTCTTTTCCCCTCTGCCAAGTATAGATTTTGCTTCCTACTGGTAAATTAGTAGAGAAAAGTTAAGAACTGAATGCATCTAAACCAAGGAGGAGAATATGGGCTCTGACTGTGAAGACTATTTCTTTCACGTTCTGTCAGTCTTTATACGCTAGTCAAATTCTAGTGACTGGCAGGATGAGGCTGAAATCTTACAGGGGAAAGAATCTTTATCCTGCCAGCCCATGTTCTCAAGTGTGAACCTAGTGGAAATGTGGGTTAACAACTTATCTCCTCCCCCCATGGAAAGAAGGATGGTTGTTAGCTATCTACTTAAATCATGGTTTCACAGGTTTCGTGGAAACCATGAAATCCAGGATTGTCCTTGAAATCAACAACAAAAAAACTTAAAATGCTGATTCCTCAGTGGGTGCCAGTGGTCCTCACTGCCATTGCGTCCTGGCCCCATCAGCTGGTGGGGTCACATGAAGGCAGCAGAAAAGATGGCTGCTGCCCCCTGGTCCCTCCTTCCTCCTTCCCCCTGGCCTCTCCGCCAATCAGTGCTGAGGAATGGGGCCACAGAAAGGGCAGCTGCCCCCTCATCCCTTTCCCACCAGGGCCTTTCTGCCAATCAGCGCCAAGGGGTGGAGCCACCAGAGCACATCTGCAAAATGTCCACAGAACTTGCTTTTTATGCTGCAGCAAGCCACAAGAATTGGTAAGTCTAACCATGATTTAAGTAGACTCCTAATGATTGTCTGCTCACAGCCTAGGTCTGCAGTAAGTTGTCTGTGTTTCATAACTCTGTTGGGAAATGATTGTATATGCTATTGGGAACATTACTTCCTTTCCACTTCAGAAATGAGCATACTCCACACGGCACTGTTGTCAGAGTTTTGATTTATACCTGCTCTTGTAAGCTGATCCTTGTGGAGCTGTCAGTACAAGACTGCTGTTATCTAACACTTCAAGAGCAGGAAATTTAATAGCAACTGGCTACTTGTTGTGAAACGTTGGCTTTCCTGTAAAAATCATCTTCTGGTCCTCTTTGGTTAGTGTTTTTGTAAATCACTGGCATCAGGATGGCACAGTGAGTTTAATGCAACAGTTTTGAAATTAAGCCCCACAATGCTAAAGCCAATAGAGGTTTAGTGATCACCTAATTCTTAAGGGATTCACAAACTGAATTAGCGGATCTGTTTAGCTTAACATTAACTGGAATTTCCAGCATAGTATTGGGAAAACTTGCTTTTATGAAGGCTGACTACAACCATTGCTGTTGTTGTGTTTTTCACATAATTAAACAAATTATACCTTTTGAAGTCACTTTTCTGACCACTAATTATGTTGACTTCTATTCTCTTGACACTTCAGAACCTTAGCAATTAATGTAACCTTTTTCTAACCACCTTTTTGTTTTTTGATAAGCTTACTGGCAACAAAACTAGTCTGGAAGTTATAATTGCTCAATTATCAACTGAATTGCTGCTGTATTCTTAAGTGTCCCCAACACAGCTGTGTGGACCTGGGAAAAGAGGAGGAATCATTCCTGTCTGCAAGAACTACGCCCACAAACCCCTCTAATGTAGATTCAGGAATAGCAGCAAAAAGTCTTCTTCCTGGGATAAACTATTTCATTTTGGGAGCTAGTATAAGCTCAGCTGCCAAACATTTTGTGTTGATGACCATAGGAATGTTTGCCTGGATAGCTCAACTGGAGCAGTTACATCAGCACATTTTTTTTTGACTGAAAAAGCCTCTGTTTTTAGCAAAAGTAACAAATTTTGTGTGGCCTGAATTTCATCTTTTTAGCTTTGTCTTTTCCTGTTTTTCAGGCCACTTTACCTAAATGTTCCTTTAATATTTAATGGCTGAGGGGGCTGTTTTGAGCAGTCTTCTGAAGTCTTTTTAACATTGACTGAAGAAAGGTCTTTGAACTTGTATAAGTAACTTGCTACTTCTATTTTAGAACAACAACAAAATGTTTTATGCCTTTGCAGAATACCAACGCAGAACGAGAGTTGTTAGGCATAAAATTAATAGTTGTTTCAAAGGTCATGAGGTTAAAGCACTTAATCAAAAAGGAACTGTCAGCAGTAGGGCAGTGCAAAGCTTTGGTAGCTGATTTGATTCTGAGGAGATTCGGCCCAATTCAGGGACAGAATCTCCGAATTGGAATAGAATCAGGAGACCAAAAGCTCCGAATCGATTGGAAACATCTGAATTGATTTGGAAAAGATTCAGAGATTTGTCCATAGACTAAACAGGCAGCTGACAGCTGCCTCCAGCTGGTACGTCTGTTGGGAAGGGAATGGGCATGGGGGAGGGAGGCATTGGAGCTGGGACAAGCTGCCCAGCCGGAGCAGGGGGCACATTACTCAGGGAGGGGGGTTGGGGGGGCACGGGATGCAGGTGCTGTAGTGCTGGGAGCAAGGGCTCTGCCCTGCTGCCGCATGGCCAGCTAAGGCGGTATGCGGATATAGCTTGCTCCAGGAGGAAGGGGGCAAATGGCAGTAGGGTAGTAGACAGCATGCAGCACCCTGCCAAGCCACGCGGCACCCGCACCATGGGGCAGCTGCTGCATGGGTGTCAAGCGGGGGGGGGGGAATTTCCACTGCCCCCTGCTGCCTTGCGCTGCACAGTGGGGGTCTGCCTTGAGTCCTCAGCGGCCCCCGATCACCACTGCCAGAGCTGGTGAGTACGGGGCTTTTTTTAAAGCTCCAGTCACCGGTTACAGGAGCGGCAAACAGGGCCTCTCAGAGCTTATGGCAGAGTCCCCCTGTGCAACGTGGGGCAGTGGGGATTGCCCCCTCCCTCCACCTGGCACCCATGTGGCAGCTGTCTCTTTGCACAGGTGCAGCACAGCTTGGCAGGGCACCTGGGCGGCTCCACGTGTCAGCCGGAGCCCGGCATCACTCAGCCCCAGCAGCCCAAGCTCCCAGGCAGTGTGCAGCACCCTGCCGAGCCACGTTGCACCCACGCCATGGGGCAGCTGCTGCATGGGTGCCAAGCGGGGGGGAGGGGGGGGCGCAATCCCTGCTGCTCCATGCTGCATAGGGGGGCTCTGCCATGAGCACCCAGAGGCCCCAATCGCCGCTTCTGCAGTTGATGAGTGCGGGGCTTCCCCCCCCCCCCCCCCCCAGGCCGG